TTGCCCCCCCCCATGTGGCGGCCCTGTCTCGACTATAGATACGAGTGTACGTCGACATTCGGATAATTCAAGGTTCGTATAATAGAGGATTGTACTAGAAAGACAGAGAGAACCGACCTCTATTAACGTGGATCAGTGCAGCTTTGTATCACTTAGGTCAACATCAACTTTAGCCTACTAATATCTCCACTGTTGGGCGGGCATACGAACCTAATGAAATCTAATCGGAACAATAGGCTATTTCCCGCCACGCCCCCAATATGATTACGACGTCTTAACGCTGCTGATGAAGCTGAGAACAAGATATTAACGTACCATTCGAAGCACCCGTCCCATGAGTTGCCTCTGCAAAAGTTGCTTAACTTCCAAATTGCAGAATGCGCTAATTTTGCGCCATCGAGCACCTACTTAGGTACTCATTCCTCAATACCTATGTGTTAAGCGGTGCTGATACAGTAATGTCCTTTCCGTAGTTTGAAAGAGCCAATATTTTTTTTCGTTAACCATCCTTAAAAGGGTTTTAAAATTCCGAACCGAACACGTTATCTTCTCTTTTTATAAAAATTAATATCAAAATAATAAGACTATAATCAAAATTCATTCGGCGTAGTAATTCTAGTGCATTTAGTCCAAACGATACATCATATTCCAACAACCGATAATTTTAAGACTCAATTAGACGATATTGATGGCGCCCACATAACCTTAAAGGTCACAAAAATAAACCTTTTGTTTCTGTTATCCATGATTCATGCATCAACCGCAAATTAATCATTCAGCAACCGCTGAGATGTTTTATCGGCGCTTTATTTAAATGGTTTGTTAACATGACCAACGGTACCGGTGTTATAAAACAATGGTCCGGCGAATGGACCAGTCAATATGTAATTTACATTGAACATTTGTCATTTATGGCGTTTAAAACGTGGGCTTAATTAAGTGTCGTACGGGATCGAAATAATAATGTTGGGCAAACGTCAATCGTGTGACCCCATCTCCATTGCATTCGGTTTTGTTATAATAAAACAGCGAGTCTGCGCTCGCCGGCTGAATATTGAAATCACTTTTAGAAGTGTCAGAATACATCGATGTTTATCCAGTGAAAATGTTACAATATTTATTGAAATCGACGTGCGATTTAAAAACCAAATCTTTTTCAACGTGCGAAGTTGCATCTCCTTTTTGGTTGAAAGAGTCAACTAGTGAAATAACAACTTTCATATGATTTTCTACGAGCGTGGGAGCATGATGGATCGTTTAAATATTCTTTATGGAATCTAGTGAAACTTCGATTTCGTTTCTATTGTTGTTATATATTTACATGAAACTTCGTTAGACGTGTCTGGTTCACTATAGAATCCCATATGTCAATAGTGAAGCAATACATATATCGGCACCTTAGATTCGTGCATGAATGTTGTTCAGTCACCGTTTGAATGGACAAGAAACTATTATAATGTTGACTGTTGATGGCGTTTAGTAACTTAGTCCGTACGTTAAATGATGGAAGAGAGATATGAATCGTTTAATAGGCAAGTGTGAATAGTGTTGCCATTGTTAAGCCCATTAACAAACGAGTTTTGACACGCGAGAGTACTTGCGAAAGGTTTGACTCACGACTAAATAAATAAAATATTTTACATAGTTGCCCAACACAGATAAGTAATTTAATTAGAACACGCTCAGTTGAATATTGGAAATAATACGTAGCTAATGGTTTACTAAAGTGGTATAGCAATATCGGGTGTATTAAAAGACTGAAATTTAATTTAAACCATGTTCAACCTACCTGTCTCTGCGTATCTGCTTATATTATATCTCTGTTTCAAAGGAACCTAGGCGTGATCTTATTATAGAAACTACAATGAATCATAATTAAATAATCTCATTATGTTTTCTTAAAATTAAATTATTGATAAATCTTATTTCTCTTTACAATCTAATACAAGATTTAATAATGAATTTAGTGTAAACGCAATATCAAGTTCTGCCCTTGTTGAAAATAGTTGTCGATCGGGTCCTATTGCCTCTCCGGACCTCCGAATAGGTTAGTCCGCAACTGACAACTGCAACAAAGAAATTTAGTAAAATATGTTGTAACAATAATATATACATTTTTAATTAAATTACTGGTAATTCTGGCTCAGCTTGGCAAGGCTGATAAACTTTCTCAAGCAATTTCCTATCCAACAGTAAAAACCGCATACAAATCTGTCGCGTGATTCAAGAGTTAAAAGCCTAATAGACGAAGTGAATAACAAAGAAGGAAGACGACTAATTAATATCTTGTTATTAAGATGTTAGTGTTTATAATGCGGTAAAAATATTCGGGTAATCAGGTTTATATCTAATATTTTTAGTTTTGATAATTGATGTGCATATCCAAAAAATAAATATGTAGTAAAAATTTGTAAGACACTTTATTGTATGACACTGAAAAAAAAATTGAAGATAACATTAAGTTGAACATAATTTAGCTCAATCATAATAACTAAATCTAATATAAAATATGAGTTGCCCGTATTTAAAGGTTTATGGTTATATTTGATTGTTATTCTGTCTCGACTAAGCAATAATTTGTCTGGCATTGTTGTAAAAAGTACGCAACAAAGGCAGTTACTTTCGATACTAAAGACAGCTCTTCATTATACAATTGATCAGGTCATTCACATTTATAGTGTACAATTTCAAATCGGTGGCCTGCATTTTTATGTTTATGAGTTCCTGTCATAGGTACTTTTACTTCTTATTTTACATTCGAGTAATATGCAAGGTTTCTTTATATTGTGTCACTTTTTAAATTAATATATATCAAACAGTGTATTGACTAAATTACGCAGTAGGGGATGTGTAACATGACACTCGCGTTACGAAGAAAAAAATTGCTTTTGATTTTAAAATTCCCGTAAGCTCGGTGATTGTAATGTCCGGCGTTTCGTATTAAGTTACAACTGTCATCTTCCAAAGTCACACATGAGTTATTTTTAGCGCATGTAGTGAAAAAGCCTGTCTGATGCTATGTCGATTGCATAAACGTTGTAAGGTTGTTCGAGGAAGTTGTTGATCAGTAATGACCAATTTGCACGCCGTCGCCAGTCTCCAATGCTTTTTTTCTCACAAACCAACCTTCCTTAATGAGTAGAGAAAACTTCACCCGCTCTAACTTTTATGCAAATTCGTTTTCTTCGATTTTCGAAAGTGTTTATTTTTTATTTTGTTATTTATTCTATTCAGACAGCACTTACTATATTCTTGAAGATTTGAAACAATATTCTAATAAAAATACATATTATTATCGTTGATGTCTTTTCTTACAAAATTACGTTTTTTCTTTTACTGATTAGACAGTAGTACGTAATATACAAAATTATTATTGCGATCGCGTTGGAAAAAGAAAATATAACGCTGTTTTCCCTTAGTTAGGTGTTGGGCGTCGCTTTACATGCAAAATAAAGTTACTACTAATAAAATAGGTACACTTTTTGTCTCTAATAGTGACAGATTACCGTTTATCGCCCACATAAAACCTTCTTTAAAATTATCTTATAATATAGAGGAAATAAGGCTAGTTCCCTTAGGACTGGTGGTAGCGGATACGTAGGCGAAACGGTTCCAATTACGTCAAACCATGTGAATTTATGACTCCATGCGCAACTACTCTCACGTTGATGTGTCTTCCAAACTAGATTAGAGTCCCGGCACTGCGATTGGTTTATGTAAATATTTTGTTGAAACTTTTCTTAAGAATGTTTGGAGTGAAACAAGAACCAAGTGTAATTTTGCTTTCATTAAAAATGACAGAACTATGTAAATAGTTGCGTATGTTGCACTGGCATTTATAAAGTTGAATATTTTAAGATAAAATTAAATACAAAGTAGTCAAGTCCACAGTCTTAAAAAAAATAAAAGTGCTCTAAATTTTAATGGATTCTGTGCAACAAGTGTACATGACTAATTTGCCTGATATTATACTTATTAAGATAATTATAACTATTTATTATTTTTTTATCGTTTTAACATTAAATATTACCTTTTGATTTCTTTTTATCTATTTTATATCAATGTATATTCTAATATCATCAATTTAAAAAGAATTCCTCCTTGCATAGTTTTTTTTATCACTACTGAGGAATGTGGTTTCTATGAGTAAGTGGATCTCTTACCAAAATTTTTAAAATAAGATCTTTTTAAGACAAAGTTTTTCGTGTCCTATTAGAACGATATATCAAATTAGAGCTCTTAAAAAACTCAAATGAAAACTCGGAATGGTCGTTGCGTCGTAGCTGCGAATGGCGGGGGCTCTCACCTTGACATGTCGCCGAGCAGACGTCGGAATTGCTCTGAAATCCCGGACCTTCCGTGGAGTTGTGTAAGTATCTTTAGCGTACCTTGGACTATGTAATCACTACCGAAAAATCTAGATCATTTCATCAGAGTTGATGACGATTATCAATCATATGTGATCTTATTAGATTTAACTGAACTGAATTTTTGGATGATTCAAAAGTGCTTGAAACAAGCTTACTTAAAGAACATTTTTATTTCATTTCATAACACAGACTGAGTCTTTGATAATCAAAAAATACCTATTACTAATAATTATTACATGCTTTTGAACCTTCTTGTTTAATGAAAAATATAAATTTTCCCTAATACAGACAATAAAAAATATATCGATAGGGCTTCCAATTGTTGATCGGGCTATAGAAGTGCGTGTATGCAGCGAGGGGCTACGCAAGCTGCGCCGGAGCACTTTTGACGCAAGCTCATATCGAGACGCCAGCAGTTGCGCGGGAAACTTCGCAGCGGATGGTTGTGTGCCGCACGTATCACAGACTATCTAACAACGACCATCGCATCGAAAACAATTACGATACTGTCGATCTTTTTTAGTTCGTGAATCAATGTGGTAGTGATGTTAAAGCTAAAGTGATCATTTCAAATCATGTCTGGTTGAAATGATTTTTTCGTATTAAACGGTGAAAAAAAAAACTTTCCAAATGAAGATGACAGTAAACCGTATAAGGGTGGTGGTGCTAGGCAGCCCTCGGAGTGGCAAATCCGGTAGGTATTTGTGTTATAATTTTACTCAAATATGTTAGTTTTACTAAAATGAATACATAAATATGTATTTATAGGAAAAAAATAATGCTTAGCCGCATTATATTTATAAAACATCTTTAACCCTTTTAACTATTTTTTTAATTAACGAATGTTATCACATTTAAACTCTTAAAGGCAAGGCATATGAGAAAAATCTCATATGCCTTGCCTTTAATTTATCAATAATAATAAAATATATTCGAAAATATTCCGTATCTTATAGGTATAGTAATATTTGTTTTAATAAACACCGAGCAGTTTAAGAACATTTGAAATGTTGATGCATTAAATTATTAGCATGAATATGTTATCACTATTTGATATCAACGTCTTATCAATGTTATTCTTGTTCTTGATATGAGCATTCTTTACACTCGTGTTATGAAAGATGTCACTGCATTCAGAGATATCTTAATGTTAATCGCACTATGTTTATAGCAGATAATTGTTCTTTCGCATAATGTTTCTGTTTCTCACTTTTGTATCGAATAATCTTGGAAATATATATTCAAAGATTATTCACTCTTAAGAAAGTTTGAAGGTTTAATGTTTAATTTAAAGAAAGTTTAATAATTATGAAGGTTTTATTCTATAACTAGCTATAGAAACCGTATTAACATCCGTTTTGTAGTGCAAAAGATCTCAGCATAGAGACAACGGGAAGCGATTTAATGATTATTTGTTAGGTTAACATCGATTAATTTTATACGATATGGGTCTGGTTAGAATATAACATAATGAATACAAAATGATCAAGTTGTGTACTTCTGTCTAGATAGACAGAAGTATACATACTGTATTTAAATTACCAAGCTGACATGATCTGATGATTGAAAATTATGTTAAAATCTAAAATTAATATGATATACTTTAGAACTGACAGACACCATATTATTTATCAATTAAATAAAATGAAACTTTTGCTGCCGTTTCTACTAGGTATTTTAAAAATAAACTAAGTTCATAATTTTAAACTAATAAATAATATAGGTAAAAGGTTTTTGCTAATTTTCAGAAAATAAATACAGAAAATATGTAAATAATAATTATAATAATAGTTTTATTGTATACAATTTCTAACTAGATTTCCATATTTTTCATGGTGTACAGTAAGTATCTAGTTATTATTTAAATAAGATAAAAAATTAAAACAAATCGTCCAAAATACGCTCTTATTATGTTTGATTAATTTTGTATTTATAATGCTTTATTAATTATATTTATAAGTAATAATGCATTAATTAAAAATTTATCAGTCTTTTGGTCGAGATGGGCACAAATGCATAATGCCAAAGGAAGAATATATTCAAAATTTCAGTTTCAAATTCATTAATTTATTTTATTACAAAACTTCATTGATTAATTTCAATTTTTGTAAAAGCTAAATTATAACCATTAATTAAATAAAAATAAAATTCTATGTCAAGATCTTCATAATAAAAAATAATAAACTAAGGTTAATTTTACAGACCTGTCATTTAGAAATTCTGTAATCGGACTATAGTTTCAATTAATCGTTTGTTTTGTAACTTATCTATACTAATATAATAAAAGAAATCGAAAATATTGATTTGATCTTCTTTCATCTATGGGAAGCTACATTATACATTAATGACTTAGGCTGTAATTTACATGTGCGTGTGGTCACAAAAAGAATTTTTGGCTCGAGAGGGCAGTTTAATGTTTTTTGCCCAAAATCGTTTCTCCTTATCAGATCTACGACATTTTTATGGAATTCTAATTTTGGAAGTGTATATGTCATAGTGTATTAGTAGCTTGTCGGTTGTTTTGCAACTTTTAGTACATTTTATATCCTAAGAGCGGTAATGCAATTCTTATTCCATTTAAATATGTGACTATAAACACCGATGAATTGTGAAGAAGTTCACTTTTCAAAAAAATAATGATTATATATATCTTAAGATATATTTATCTACACCTTATTGACTTTTTTTTTATTAAAACCTTTTTGGTAAAAATACGTAACATAATATATAAATTATGTTTTAAAATAATGATTAAATAGATTATTACCTTCTAACAATTCAGCTAAGTAGAACACGGCGAGACGGCGATGATGCTTCGCAAAAATTTAAGAATATGGATGATGGATTCCAATGCAATGATTGGTATTGCTGAAAAGAAAATATAAACTAGTTGCAGAAATTCACTTTGAAAAGTTTTTTGAAGTTTGTACCTGTTTATGCAAACTTCTTTCATCAGTAAAACAATTTAAAAAAATTGAGTGACGAATATTGTCCTATTATCGAATTCTATTGTTTTATCGATTTACGTATTTTATGTTTTGGAGACTCGGTGATGAATTGTGGTATGAGAAATAATACAGAAAACTAACCAGATATGGAATAGTATATCTAAAATTAAATACTGAAATTATTTTCTAAATTATTATATATAGAAATTTTTGTTTACTTTAAAATAAGTCAAGTTAATTAAACTAATCGTGAACTTTACCCTATTAGGAATAACTTAAGGAAGGAATCACTTTTTTTTTTGGTTTTAGATTACAGGTGTAAATTAGCTCTAAAAAGGTCTTTACATACTCCTTTTTATATCGAACATCGCGTTAGCGCAAAATTTATTTACCAGTACATTGCTCTTGACCCATGAGTGCACGTAGTGAGCTCATTATTTTCTGCAATTTATGGGCATGAATACTTTTTAACAAAACAAAAACTACTCCACTTATTAGTTGCTGATGTTTTTGCAACGGTATTGTGTGGTAGCAACGTTGTTGCGACTTTGTTAGTATTCAACTGCATGTAGATTCAATATGTGAGTCGTTAGTGCCTTAACAAGGATTCAGCTCGTTTTTATTTATTTGTATTTGTTCTGTGTACGTGGTCTGTGGCAGGGTTTCCCAACCTTTCCTGTGCTGAAAGTTCTAATCATAAATTATACTCAATTTTTTTCCTAAAATGCATACGCTTTCGCCTCCTTTGCTATCTCTCTACCTTTAGGAGGCGTGCTTGCCTCTATTGAGAAGTTCTGGTCTATAGTATATTAGGTTACATCGAATGTAAATAAAACACTAATGTACGTAAACTAATGATAATGTTATCTTCAAACAATTAAATAGACATTATCACACGCATTGCTTAAATTATAAACTTAATTTGTATTATACAAATCTAAAACAATTCAGATACCAGATACGACATTATTATCTCAGGTTTGGCTTATATTTATTAAGAAGCATTAATTTTCTAAATTGAATCGATCGAGAATCGAACTTTGGACCAGAGACGGTGATGCCTTGAAACCGGTGAACTTAAAACAGACATGCAAATTGAAAATAATATAGCATATTTAACCTTATTTGATTAGGTTAGATTAGGTAGAGTATGACAAACACCGCACGAGCTGAGCGAATCGCTATTGTGCCAGAAGCGAATCGCTATTTTAAATTAAACATTTAGTATTAATGCTCGGAACATGTCGTGGTTTATCTTCATTGCCCAACGCGTTGAGGTCGAATAATATATCAGCCACATCACTAATTTTACTATGTGGTTATTCTGCGATTACGCAGGGTGACCGTTTCCATTAGAGCCACAACACGAATTTCGCTATATGGTTATTGTGCTATTGTCACAACAACGCGTTGTGAATTAATATTTGTCTCAATGAGCAATTTCGATCTTTAATCGTATCATTTATAATTAAATTAAAAAAAAACTACATACTACAATTTGAACGATGTCACATGTAATTAATAATTTATTTACTTGAAAATTCTTTTCAATTTTTTAAATTAGTTGTCAGTAGTTCAAATTTGGCGAAGGCACATTAAAAGTTGCAGTAATTATGTCAAATAGAAATTGGGAGAACAATTTCAAATAGGTATTTCTATACAGCCTACAATAATCTGTGAATATAAAACATGTAGGATAATGACCTCTGTGATGCATATCATACTATACCAATGTATCACGCGTCATATGTGACTGACATTTATTTATGTTAACACGGTAAAAAACAAAAGAAAATTGTAATTAATAGTGAAGCAGTTCAGCCTATTAATGCCCCACCCCACTGCTGGGGTGCAAGCCTTCTTAATGGGTTCAATCGATATGGATACAGGTATTCTCGAATGTGAATAATAAAAATAAAACAATATCAAGGTCAAGACAAGACAAGGTCTGACCTCCTGCAGTGGGGATGTAAAAGAGCTGATGATGTGTAGTTTAAAAGATCTCAATGTACAGACAATGCGAAGCTACTTTGTTTTATGTAAGCCAGTCGGAAGGTATTATTATATGGTATAAATTTGCCTTTGTGCCTCAGTGGCCGAATGGCTCTCACGTCGATTTTAAGATGTCGCCATCTCAGAGATCTCGGGTTCGATTCTCGGCTGCATTAATGCAGACAATGAACTTTTCTATATTGCACCGGGTCTGGGTGATATGGTAATTTAATTGTTTCAGATCGTAATAATGCTTTAGCTACTTAATTTGGAATTACTGAAATGTATGGTGATGTTGTCTCGTCAAATATTTATAAATATTTTTCCTTATCTTTTTATATCTCTGTCTAGTATTATCGCGTCAAGTGTTTCGCATATATAGCAGCTCCAGCGGACGTTTAACATTACACAACGCTCTGTTGGCGCCAGGCGGCGGGAAATCGCGCCGCTCTGACCCACCGGCCGACTGCCGCGACTTGAAGTAATTGCGCCGCCCTAATTGGTCCTAGTGATGCACCATCGCGATTTCCACTAGTTTAATAGCATAAGCTGTGGAATATTAAAAATGAACTCCTTTTCTATGCATGTGAAATTGTTGAGTTAATTGGCGTCGTTTAGAAAAGTTTTGCTTAAGCATGGACTGTAGATTATATTCAAGATAAAAAGACAATGGAAATATTTTAATAGACAGCATGAGAGAATTAGTAAAAATACAGTAAAATGTGATAAAAAAAAGATGCTGGAAAAGCTGTCT